CGTAACAACCTGATAACATATCGTGATATTTTTGAAGGTATTCTTATTCCGTTATCTCAACAAATTGGAACACGTAACGTGTCATACCTAAATATTTTCACGAATATCGGACACATAAAAAAATATTAAAAAACAAAAACGAAGTGGTTTACGGACCATAATTTTGATTTAATTTGTTTCCTTTGTAGACGAAGATGTTAAGTGTATTTCGATATTTTTCTCCCGAATCAAGTGTCATAGTATAATTATAAGGATAATAATAATTATTAATAGCAACGTTGTGATAATTGCGTCACAAATGTTCTGGAAGTTCTAATAGTAAATTATATTTTGCATGGTATCCGTATAGACCAGGGCTTCTTAAACTTCGGGTCGCGACCCGAAATGGGGTCGCTTAGCGAAATCTTAGGGTCGCTTAGCGAAATCTTGGGGTCGCGATATTTTTATATAAAACATTTAACATTCTCTTTTATTTATGTCATTCAAAAAATGCAATTTTGATGAAAAATAGGGTACATAATTTTTGTACCCTATAATAAATACAACAACAAACGAAATACAATTAACTATAATAAATACAATTTTACAATATTTTGTGCAATTTTTAATTTCATATTTTCGTATGTTTTTAAACAAATCGTAAAATTATATTTTTCCATATGTATATATAAAGTTATCTAATCATATATCTTTATTTTATATTTTTTGAGTTGCTAAAAATATCGCAATCATAAATGGGGTCGAAAAACGTTCAAGAAGCCCTGGTATAAGCCAGCAGTTTACTTTAATTTCCATCAATTTCCACGAAAAAAAAACCTATAAATTTGTATCGCAAACTCTGATCGTTTTTCTTGATAAAATTAAAAAAAAAAAAACTTTTTTCTCTCGAATTAAATGTTATCCATCGGCGCGCCGCGGCGGTAGTTTAAAGTTGAACAGTCCCGGAAGTACGAAACGTTCAATCGTCAGATTTCGAACAGCTTACAAGTAGGGATGGTGTGAAAAATCACTAACAGTCATTTTTCACGGTGATCATACAATCACGATCGCAGCCGTGATTAAATTTCGATCACGACCGCGACCCGGAAGATGGCGTTTCAGAAGCGGTTCATGTTAATTGTTATCGTTTAGACATAAGTTCCTAAAGAGTACTACCAAATGTTCCTATTAAGATTAAAATAATTCTGTTATGTACATTCTCTACATGTTGTAAGAATATATATATACAAAGTGTAATTTTTACAATAAAGAGACGCACACATAGGCCCGAATCGAGCCTAAAATGTATTTTGAAATGAAACAAAAAAATTGTTATCGTTAGTGTTTCGCTGTCTCCCGTTAGCGAAAATTCAAGAAACTACAAATGAGTCAAATTGAAATTGTATTAAAATTATATTAACATTGCTTTTAGACCATATTATTAGGTTGTCCCAAAAGTTTCTTCCGTGACTTGCACTCAGTTATTTTATGTGGTAATGTTTATATAAATAGACAACCTAATTTCTTAGATGTTAATGTTGCAATAGTAAACAAATATATACATGTCGAATCGAGTAACCTCCTCCTTTTCGAAGTCGGTTAAAAATGAATCGTGCGCGATTCAATAATGTAACCTTAGAGACAAAATATCGTGTATGTATTACTTATTAATGAAATGGAAGAAACATTTGGGATAACCCAGTGTAATACATATACAATCTAAAAACAACATAATTCGTGAAAAGTGAAAAGAATGTTCTCTGCCAATCAGAAGCTATCGCGATTCACGAATCAAGAATCACGAATCACTGTGAAAAATCATCGCGATTGAGAACGAACGTGATTGAATCATTCGTAATTCAAGAGTAGCAATTCACGTCAGCTCTACTTACAAGGGATCCCCGATTATTTCGGTATATATCTATTTACACGAAACAGCGAGCGAGCGATTTCTCCAGCCAGCAATCCGAATGATCGCGCTCGAGTATCCGCGGGGAATCAATTATCGCGGGTAACTTTGTCGCGCCAGAGGCGATTTAATGGAACAGTTAACACCGGATTAGCCGGGTATGCAGATCAGCAGTGGAGACAGAATGGGGTTGGAGGGCTGATTGATAAATTAACAAGAAGGGTTAATCGGCGTACCGCAGGGGTGAGGATAATGCGATATCGGGAAGTGCGCGTGGTTTGCCGGATGCGGCAAGTGGGAATGCGAGTGTGCCGCCATTGTGAACGGATAACCCTGGTTATCCATCTCCATTTCCGTTCCTAGCCGACACCGCACTATCTGGAGCACTGGATATCCATCCATCTTCTTCGTTCTTAGATACGCGCCGTGCGTTGAAGTTCGCCAACCCGCCGGAAGATTGCCGTCACTCTTTTGTCTTTGTCAACTGACACACGTGGCCGATGTTTATCTTCGCTCGAGGATCCGACTACGCGAAATTTCACCGGTAATTCGCGTCCCGCGCGGTCGTGCGACTTTTTCGCACGGTTCCAATTCTCGACTGCAACAAGCGCGAGCTTGCGTTATACACCATATACGGATAAATCGAAGGCGACGTTTTACGGCCACGCACTATCCTCGTAGACGCTTTAATGGTCTACGTTTGCGCATCGCATGTAACCTCGAGGGGATCGCCTCTCAAGGTCAAACTCTTCTCCGTGCACTTTCTCATCGATCGGGCCACGTTCTCGCAACGATGATCACCAGAATCGCTTATTTTTACACCGCTAAGGATGTCATTCGAGCGTGCTCGCGGTGAAAACACTTCTCGTCGATGCACGCGCGCAACGTCACCCCCGACGCACTTTCCTTTTCGCGTGAAATTCGTCGCGCGACTTGTTTCTTACGTGCTCGGTTAGGTAGCTAGGTTCGAATGCGAGAGCAGCAGAATCGGAGAGGTGCCTCTCCACGAGATCACCGTTGGCCCGCACGCTGGGGTGTCCCACAGGTGGTGGTGGTGCTGGCGATTCTAGGGCCGAAAGGTGAAGCTTAGAAATCCTTTTGAAAGGAGTCCGAAGATGGCATTCCGCCCACGTCCATTCACAACCGAGCACGGATTGATGGCAGGCAACGTGAACGTATTGTAGCTTGTTGTTCGATTCGCAGCATTCTTCGACACGATGCTCCTGCTCTCGGTTAGTGTGAGCATTCGACTGGTCGATATACCGCGACGATTCGAGCGACTCGACGCGGTCGAGAGCGGAAATTCTACAGGGGTTGCTCTCCTCGAAACGAGGAGGATCGGTCAACGGAGCTTTTCCAGCGTCGATAACGCGTGCTCGCTGATAACTGATAACGAGGACTATGTGCATCGAACGCGTACTTGGTTTCATTGCAACTGATACTGCCGACGGGCTGACGATCGTAGCTGGATGCGACCAAGGATGGAGCCAAGAGTTACCTTCCCGAGTGTCTAATTCTATTTGAGTTACAGGAAACGCTGCCCGACCGAGCGACGTGACTGTTTTAAGCGGAAATGAACGGAAGATGGGAAAAGCTCGTGGAACCGAAGCGACAATGCGTATCAGCCATTCGAATTGGCAAGCTCACGCGTGGAATATATCGATTTCGATATTTCGACAGATATCGTGTTCGAGTAACGGGTCTTTGTTAATTACCAGTTTTCGTATTCGTTGTCGATAGACGGGTGGAGATAATACGCTTTACGGTACGATTAAAAGTGGACTTTGTAATTGCTTAAATATGGATAAACATGGATCGTTCGGGAAATCGATAGATAAGTGTTAGAAATCGAGGATTTATATTTTTCCCAAAATGATGGAAGATCGCAGTTCGCTATTTTTTAGCCGTCTTCGAAAAGGAGGAGGCTACTCAATTCGGCATGTATATTTTTTTGGTAATTTTGAATGCAAGCAATTTCTAATTTCGCGCGGACTACGAAACGGTTATTTAACATAATTTAATATAAAGGAGATAGAAATTATTTCATACTTTTAAACAATTATATCTCGAACTGGCGAGCATTCATATCAATTAACTAGAAATTATTTCATACTTTTTAGTGGAGTTTCAATGTTTCTCGAAGTCGGTTATATTTTTTTTTCCAAAAGTTATTTTATTCAGACTATCGTGAAATATTTCGTTGATTTTTCGGACTGTAAACTATTTAAGGGGCTTGGGACAATGGTATTTTAGTAAATAAAAAGTTTCTCAGAAACGGTTAGGCCGATATTAACAAAATTGTATACACTTGTTTCTTAATAATAGGACTTAATTTAGACCGAGAATTTGTTTAATATTCTGATTCCAAAAAAAGCTAACGCCGCGCACACTTTTCAACTTTTCAAATTTCCAAAGTTTTCAAAATTAACCCTTCGGACTTTCAAAAAAATTCTCGGTCTCTTTTTAGTCCTGTCGTTTCTGTCCATTATGCAAAAAAAATAAATAAATAATTAAAAATAAAAAATAATAAAAAAAATAATTTGGATCAAATGTAACAAAGAATTTTAATATCAAAAATTCAAGCATCAAGTGTGCGGGAACTTATGGGACAACTTAGTAAGGAATACAATTTTACTACTTTTTATGCAATTTTTAATTTCATATTTTTGATTATTTTTAAGCAAACTCTAAAATTGTAGTTTTTCGTATGTATATATATATATATATCGTTACCTAATCAATAAATCATCACAAAATATGTACATATCTTCATTCTATATTTTTTGCATTGTGAAAAAGATCACAATCGTAAATGAGGGTCGCGAATGAAAAAAAGTTCAAGAAGTCCTGTTTGAGATAATAAATGTTTTCGTCGTTTCGGTAAAGAATATTCGTGTATATACCGATATTACGATATTTATTGAAAGAAATTTCCATTGAAGAAATGTGCAACTAGGTGGTTTTATTATTACTTCGATAATTTCTTTCGAATTTATTTCGATATTCCTTTTCATTTCTATAAAAGAAATTCCAGAAAACCGACCATTTTTCGGCCACCCAAATCAGAACAACCTCATAAGAAATTACGGCTACCGATGATGGTAAAACTTACATTGATTTGCAGATGTTGTTTCGTAACGCCTGGTTGGCCTAGGGGGCGGTCGTGGTGGAAGCGCGGGTGGTTGATGGGTTCTCGATGTCACTTCAACGCCGCCATCGCTTTCACCCTCTTGCCCTCTCTTATTCCCTCCAGTTTGCATCACGTGGCATTGACATTTGCTCTTTGAAGGTGTCGACACCTATATACCAAAGAATTCCATTGTAAAAGTTTTCCTAGATAACAATCACGATAGACGAGGCCGCATTTCGTTGAAAATTAGACTACCAAAATGACACAGTAAATGCCAACGATTAAGTTATGTCACCCCATCGTTGCCGTGGTAATAAATTGCTCGGTGAACAATGATCACCCAGCAAACGCAGCGTGCATTAACGCTGAACGTCCGTTGCCAATTACAGACATGTTTAGTTTCGTTGGGAAATTAATGTTGCAGCGGTTGAATTTCAAATTTACGCGCGTCGTTACTCTATCTGGCACACATCAGTCAAACGAATAAAGAATTTACTTGGAATTAATAACGTTAAATAATAGAATAATATTAGGTTGTCTCAAAAGTTTCTTCCTTGACTTGCAGTTCCTTGACTTGCACAATAAGAAATTGGACATAATTTGACAGTTTCTATTTTTACATGGCAATGGAAGCATTCGTGTTCTATTTTGGCTCAAAAAATCGATGTTTCTCATATATTTTGATCCATAACACTTAAACTATTGAACCGATTGAAAAACAGTGTGGAAAGCAATTGTTGGATATTCGATTACCTTTAATATGGCATCTTGCGCGGCCCAATCAGACGTTCCTAACTCGAGATATGGCCTAAAATGCGAAGATATCTCAGGAAGAAATCGAGAAAAAATTCAAAAATTCAAATCTCGAAACCTATTCATAGAATTATTTGTCATTTCGATTTTCGAGTGTAGCATGCCAAAATACATAAGAAAAAAAATTGTGGCATTGAATGTACATTTTTTTCCTTTATTTTGTAAACCAGTGTTATTTATTAATAAAATGGAAGAAACTTTTGGGACAACCTAATGCTTCTTAAAACACCCCACGTCGCTTTTCACGTATTCACTTGCGTTTTATACATCGAAAGTACCTGAATGGAGTCCACCCCGATAAGAGAGGAGTTTTTGGTATCGGAGTTCTGCGTGTGCTGATGCCCGTGGCCGTGAATGTGCCCGTGATGATGACCATGATGCTCCAAGCTCGAGGGAGCTCTGTCCCTTTGCCGAGAATCAGAATGGGGGCCGTGCAACGAGTGCACTTGCTGCAAATGATGATGATGATCGTGAACGTGATCCAAACGACTATGAGTTCTCGTATTGGCGTTCGACGAGGAGGACTCGCAGGATATCCCGGAGCTGACGTGATGATGGTTGACGCTGGAGTGCCCGGTCAAGCTACCCGACGAACTGCCGTGATGGTGGCCAGCCAACGGCGTCGTCGACAAACTACTGTTGCCGTTCGCGACGTGTCGATGAACAGCGGGCGATCCACCGTGATTCAACATACTCGAATTCGACGACGCTCCGCTCATCGCGCTGGAGGTGCCATGGTGATCGCTGGAGAAGCCTGAATTCTGAGGATAATGGCTGCCAAGTCCGGTGCTAGCGCTGAGGTGGCGATGACTCGATGGCGAGGATCTGTGTCCCATGGTGGCGGACGCAGAGATGGTGTTTGGATGGTGGTGAGTGCTCGGGTTACCAGCGGTAGCTTGGCCTCCGTGACTCATCGACGTCGAACCGGTGCCGTTCAAAGGGCCAGGGTTTCCATGAACGTGGCCAGCGAGGCTGGGCGCCAGGTTTCCGTGATGATGTCCGGTCATTCCTTGCGGCCCGTGGGAATGATGCACGGTCGGCGGTCCGTGATGATGGGTCACGTTCGCGGCCTTCGCGTTTCCGTGGTGATGATGCGTGTGCTGTCGCTGGTGCTGCTGAAATCCCATCAGACCGTCTCCCACGTCCAAATTCGCGCCGCCCCGGAAATTCTCGGCGTGTTTGTGAACGTGAGTGTGGGCGTCGCCATGGAAATGCCCGTGGACGTTGCGTTCCGGTGACGTCGGTTCGTGATGGTGCTGATAAGGGTTCAGCACTTGCTGAATATTCTTCAGTTTATCTTTACCGGAAGCTGGCTGCTTCTGCGATAACCCGCCGTGATCTTCTAGTTGCTTGTCCAGGTCTTTCGCGGATGCTTCCAGTAAGGCTGAACTGCTGGCCTCCAACAAAGGGCTAGGGCTGGAAGTTAGGCTGTGCTGGTTATCCTGCATGCTGCTGCCGGATTCCTGAACTCTCCGAGCGGCCTCGAACGCCAAGTTTCGAGAGAGATCCAAGTTCCTCGGGCTGCACGAAAGATTGTGACCGTGTCTCGACAAAATCGCGCTTTGACTCTCCATGGGCCTCGGGTTCGATAGGCCGACTTGATGTTCCAAGATATCGACGCTCCGAGTACTCTCCAAATTGATCTGTTGGCTCTCTTGATGAGACAGCGGGCTTTCGAGTCTTCGAATTGGCTCGAAAGCGTTCTGAAGCGCCTCCAGACCTCTGGGGAGTTCTTGACTGTTGGAAATTCTTGTACTTCCCACGCCACGCTCCGCGCTCCTCTGCGTTCTCATGGAATCCATGCTACTCATCGCGGAGCATTGGCAAGGGTGTTGCGGACTTTCCGGAACGTCCAGGTCCGTGGTTAATTGCGGCTGGGACATCTTTGTGCCTGAAAATGGGATACACGGACCGATTAAAATTAATAAGCGATTAATTACCGAGGAGGGGTCGTACGATGTATCGCTTGTCTCTTCGCTGAATGCAATAGAACCATTTTATGGTAAAGGAAACATTCTCGGGAGATGTTCTAGGTATTTATGAAATCGAAAATGAATGTTTCTTTGAAAGGCCAGCAACGAAATTATTATATTCATAATAATTGGGGGTTTTTTCAGTTTGTGCAATTTTCGTAAAGTCGTTAAAAGTATTTTATATGCACGTGTTGTATATCATTTTGTAGCTTTTGAAGTGCTCTTTCATATTTAAGTGTTAGCGACATTAATTTATTGGTCGTTTAATTTTTGTTCGTATTAGTAAAATTATGGAAAATTCTGATATAGTAGTAGTTGCTTTAGTAGCTATAATTCGGTAGCCGTAATTAATCATTTTAATTTGTGCGCTGCCTCCGAAAAGGTTCCATTGTATTTAATATGCTAGATTTAATAATTTAATCAAATTCATCACGAGCTGGTGAGTAATGATGCAGTTTAAATAGAAATTATTTCATACTTTTCAGTGCTTTTTCTCATACTTTTAAGCAATTATATCTTGAGTTTGTGAGTATTATGTATGTAAATTAACTAGAAATTATTTCATACATTTTAGTGCAGTTTTAATGTTTCTCGAAGTCGGTATTATTTTCTCCCCAAAAATTATTTTATTTCACACTTTTTAATGGCAATGTATAACCAATACGCTTCATGCAGTAACAATAGTTACGAACAATATATTGTTGCAAATGGAGTCATCAGGAATACATGTGCAACTAAATGTGAGAGATTTCATGGCGATCGGTTAATTTCTTGCGCAGTTACATTAAAGAATAGGAATTTTCCAATGACGATAGTTGAAAACATTTAATAAAAAGTCCATACATTTTTGCAAATTCAAACATCATGAAATCAGCTGTCATTAAATGTGGAAAGTTCCATCTTGATCGGTCAATTCCTCGCCGATTTACATCGTATAATAGGAATTTTGCAATAACAATAGTTACAAACATTTAATAAAAAATCCATAAATTTTGCAAATTCAAACATCGTGAAATCAGCTGTCATTAAATGTGGAAGATGTCATCGCGATGTATTAATTCCTTGCCGAGTTTTACAAGAAAGAATAAGAATTTTGAAATAACAATAGTTAGAAACAATTAATAAAAAGATTCGTAAATTTTTGTAAATGTAATCATCGCGAAAACCCTGCCCTGCAGGAAAATGTAAGGGGTATCATCGAATTTATGCCGGACATACGAGAAATACTACACTTTTTGCGATAAAAAGTAATACAAAATGGTAAAAAATAAAACAAGGTCAAATGTTTTTTCATGGGATCGAGTGGCTGTGATGCTCTACTAGATGCAAGAAGTTTCAATCCGATTGGTCCATCCATCTCGAAGTAATAAACAATACACGATTTTTCGATTTTTTGCAAAAAAATCAGATAAAAAATGACAAATCGCAACATGTCTTGTTAACGGGATCAACTAGGAGGCATGCTCTACAAGATACAAGAGGTTTCATGCTGATTTGTTAAGCCATCTCAGCGTAATCGGCGAGTAACGTAAAAAAAAAAGAAACACACGTCGAATTGAGTAATCTCCTCCTCGTCGGTTAAAGATGAAAGTCACGACATCTATACAGGATGTCTACGTACAAGTTCGAGCATGTACAGGGTGACAATTCTACAGCAAATTTCCAAGATAAAATTACTCTTAGACATTTTCTTTGTGTCGCCTTATTCTCGAGTATTTTCACTTTTAATTTACTTTTCTGTGTTTTCGACTTGACGCTCTTTAAACGATCATAACTTCATCAAATTACAGTGCAAACTTAAAAATCAGTACAACATTCGAAAGAGCGTTAAATTTCCCATCTCTCTGATGCAAAACCAAAATTCATTACGTAGATTTAACAAGTGAAAAGTTAGAGAAAATGTCTTGTTTAAAATTGTCAGAATGTTAAGTTTGGCTTAATTTTTCACTTATTAAATCTACGTAATAAGTTTTGGTCTTGCGCCAGAAAGATGGGAAATTTAACGCTCTTTCGAATGTTGTACTGATTTTTAAATTTGCACTGTAATTTGATGAAGTTATGATCGTTTAAAGAGTGTCAAGTCGAAAACACAGGAAAGTAAATTAAAAGTGAAGATACTCGAGAATAAGGCGACACAAAGAAAATGTCCAAGAGTAACTTTTTGTTGGAACTTTGTTGTAGAATCCACACCCTGCGTATGTCCGAACTTATATACAGCCACCCTGTATAAACAAACTTATACTATTAGTGTATAAACCACGAAAATTGTTTAACTGATATAAACTTTGTAAAAGGTTTCAAAAGCTAAATTTAAAAAAGAAAAACGGAAACAAAATCATCGTAGTTTTTCTTCCGTCCCGAGATGCGATCATCCGCGAGATTTGTCGACACGTTCGTTTTCACGATCGCGAACGATCCGCGCGGTCACCTCGTTGAACTTGATAAATCGTTTCGGATTACGAAACAGCGGGAGCGAACATAAGCGGCGCGTACGCAGCGAAAAATAAAAGCGATAACTCTGCCTCTAGAAATATTCGTGCCAGCGTCGAATCATTGGCCAAAGGGACTCGCGAGGTTCGCGGTTTGTCGATGATCAATGGGTCTTGCTGGCGGACGTTTAAAGAACTAACGAATCTCCCAATTACGACGTAACGCGGAGCTCGAGCAATAGGACGATGCTAACTGCGGACATCGCATCCGTTCCGGACGCGGAAATGCGGGAAACTTTCGCGGCCTATTAGCGCCTTCCGTCGTTAAAACTTCTCGAATAGCTTTCGGGGAACTTATATAAATATTCTTGGCCAAGTATTAGGCGATTCTTCCCTTGAATCGCGAGGAGTGGCTTTCATGGTCCGGTATTGTGCTTATTTGGAAGAATTCCACCTCCGCCCTCTACCCCGACCCTTCGATAACTAACTCCCAAGTATTGCCTTGTTAAAAAATTTTCATGGATTCTTCATAATAAGCAGCGCGGGAAACTGTTGTTGCGTTTCTTTATCACAGCCATCGGATTTGCACGAAACCCATCGAAAAACAGTTGGCTACAGTGTCATTCTCGCGTGGAGCATTGATCGATGATAGGTTCGAGATGTTGGATCCACAGGCTCGACCACAATATACAAGTTCTACAATTGCTCTAGAAAAAAAAAAAAAATGTAACTAACAACGATGGAAAGCGTTATTCAGCGAAAATCGCCTTTAATTTGTTGTATTCCGGGCAACACAATTTATTAAGGGTTAATTTATTATTATGAAATAGAATGGAACATATATTTACTTCTATAGTAAATAGTATATAGTATAGCGAATACTATATATTATAACGAATACATATTACAGAAACTGTCTATGCACTATTGCATAGATAATGTACTGACAGAATATAATCTTTATGAAATACAATGCGTAAAGCGATAACCATATAATAATACTAAAACTATGTAACTGTATAATAATAATAAGCGAAATATTTTTATTTTATTAAATTATTGTGTAAAATATATTGATTTTGGTAATCTAAAACGAACGAAATACTTTTCCTCTGCATTGTAAACCTACATTCAATGTAGTTATTCAATGAATACTTCTATTAAGAATCTTCAATAAGAATCTTCATAAAATGAACGATGGAAAGAGATATTCTTTAATCGCAAGACATTATAATATTTGCAAGAAATAATTTCTCCATCTGTGTATCATACATACACAGTTTATTTTCAAGTTAAGAACTGTGGAAAGCATCCTATTTTATGCTTTATGTTATTAAAATGAAACATATTTTATTTGATGCGTTAGATTGTCAAAATAAAATAAAATATTAATAAATAAAATAAAATATTAATAAATAAAATAAAATAAAAATAAAATATTTCTTCTCATGCTTTAACTATAGATTACCTAAGTAAAATATTTTATTTGCTGAAATTTTATATCCCATTCGAAATACTATTTTATTTGAATTCTGAAGAATCTGTTATTTAAAATAGTATTTAAAATATTTTTTCTACAAATATTACCCATCTCCGTGTGTAACTTCTTGTTGCTGCGTGAGCTTGAAACTCTATCGCGCGTCGTAGTTCAATTAAACTGTCTAGCAGTATTTCTCGCGATCCGTTCCCGCGATATTACGGTAGATCGTCAGGAAGAAAATTTATTTACTTCAACGAACGAGAAAAGCTCATTAGCATTCGTGAAGTAACGAGTGTTACAATGATTTTACAAAGTGATGTTATTAGTTGGTGCAGCGACTGCAGTCCATTACTCGAACATGTCGGAATGACTTTAGCGGTAGATGATTCTTAATCATAGACGCGACTAATTTCTCTTAAACGGATGCAAGCTGGTAACATTGACGCGAGATGTGTCTCAAGGATTATTTACAAACAAAATTAGCGGAGATTCTTGTGGAAATATGTAACTTGGCCCTTAGTCACGCTCGGAAATATTAGGAAATATTAAATCTACTGGAAAGTTCTGTCCATTTTTAAAATAAAACAAAATAATACATTTTTCGTACCTCGATTGGATAATACAATATATTTTATATAATTTTTCATACCTCGAAAAAATTTGATTGGATAATACGATATATTTGATATCATTTTTCGTACCTCGAATAAATTCGATTGGATAATACAATTTTTATCATTATTTATGACATCTTGCCAGCGCGATTGCAATTTGTATATCGTTTTTAACGAATACGCCCAATATTTGTTGAAACTTGTTGCAACCGGAACGGACAGAACTTTCCGGTAGACCTAATATTTTACCGAACAATTATGGACAGGAAATTTGTTTACCGAATTATTGTTTGGGAAAATTAGATTTGCTGCGAACCTTCCACCAGCTGAAACGATAAATCCGAGCTTGTTCGCGATACGTTTGGAAGCATGATACATAACGAGTATGAATGTGACCGGTTTTATAGGAAGCATAAAGTAAGTCCACTTAATTTCCACGCGTAACGCAGTCAACGTTTACAATTTATTTCATTAATACGCTTATCAAGAATTTGGTAAAACCGATAGAATATTCATATTTCGTAAATTACGTTGATACTTTAAATTTATTCACGTTATCAAGACTGTAAACATTAAGATCGCAAGCAAATAAAAATATGTAACGATAATAATGGTACAGTCCGTGTGATAAGTATTCGTACAGGAATCAGTTCAAAATAAAACTTCATATATTTATTTTATTAATACATTTTACAGGAAGAAATAATTAACCAATACTCCTACATGTTTTTCGAGTAGATTTTCCGTAAATTAAAGTTCATTACTTTTGATGTTAACCTCTTATTTCTTCTTTTATTAGTTTTTATTTTAAATTGGTTGCTGTACGAATACTTCTTACACTGACTGCATGTAGTTATTTAATCCTATTCCTTATTACATTTGTTCGCCATCCAAAAAAGAGTACTATGTTTGATAACTACCAGGCGAAAACTACAGCGATATAAGTTACATTTTTCCAACAAAATTATTTAATCGTGCAAATTTTTTATCAAAAAAATTTGCCCAAAACAACAACAAAAAATGTCTCGTGGACCTTTACAACTTCCAAAATATGCGTTGTACGGAAAAATTGTATATACAAGAGCTACATGGTTTAAAAGGATGCACCACGTAGTGCGTTAATTTTGTTCACAGTTGGAGTGGTTTCGGAGATTTAAAAGACAACTTTGAATTTGAATAAAGATACAGTAGAATCTTTCAGATCCGTACTAATTATGAGATATAAATGGCTGGATAAGGCCATTTTTTTACAATTCATTCAAATATAAATTAACAAAATTGATGAATTGTTTCAATTTTCAAGGATTCTATACTTTTTTCTTGCTAAAAATTACCGCCACTGATAACATATCTTGCTCACACTTCATACTTTTCCTCATGTTCCAAAAGTCAGGGAAATTTTTACGGTTGAAAACCATTCCGGTTTGGTTTTTCATTTTTAAATGTAATCAAACGGAAGTGAGCGAGTATAGATACATTTCGCGTTTGATTACGCTATTCGTTGAGCTACGGGATTATGTTAGCGTTTAATTACATTGGTTGCTGAGTTATAAGATCAGTTTTGCGGTAATAATAAATTATTAGTTTGTCTGGAAAGTCCGTGCCGATTTTTGATAGGTGGTGCACGTCTGTTTATATTGTAATGGTTGAAAACAATTAACATGTGTACATCCCTTAAAAGGTGGAAAGGTCAAAATATTATTTATATAATTTGATAAATATATATCAAAATTCAAATATGCCTTTGAATTTTTCTTAAAAATTGCCACGAACTTTCTGGACAACCCGATAGTTTTGTCTTTCCTGTATTTTAGTAAGTCGGTTTTCAACCACTGTCGTACAATCTATGATTGAGGACCTGTAAGTTCTTGAATCGATTTCAGTGGCCACGATGTTAATTCCCTTCATACGAAATATATATTACGATTAATCATAAGTTTACCGGCGCGATTGCCTACTAACGCATCAGATTCATCAACGGATTAAAACATTGGAGTAACCGTGCCACATTTCCGAGTAAAAATACAAGTACCCGTACATCGCATTCTCGGTTTCCTCATTAATAACCATTACCGGGTAACACAGCGAGTTACGCGGCTCTTAACGACTACCTCAACGCAGAATCTTTAGTCTAACAGCGCGTTTGCATTTCACCTGCGAAATCGATCACGTCGGCAGCTACCTTTAAAGCACATACGGTATCGGGCATCTAGTTACGGCAACCAGTCCGAAGTGGTCCTCGTAAGTACAGCCGGGTGACTCTCCTCGGCCACTCGCATTCCTCGTATCTCGTTATACGAGCGCGCAAAGCCTCCGAAGGCCATGGTCAAGTTCGATGCCGATGGCGTTGCTCGGACGCCGGTTAACTTTTTCCTGTCATTCGACGATCTCCCCGAATCGAGGAAAGAATGGGAATACGTACCTCGCGGCACGTGGATTTAATTTCGTTCACGCGGAACGAGCCCCGACGATATTCCCCTCCATCCTCCTCTCCCTCCCAGTAAAAGGTTCCCGTGTCTCAGGACGGTTCCCATCGAACGCGCCGCGACGCCGGCAAAAACTCTTTCCCGGATCGTAAAACCGATGTAACCGTCATATTTATTATAGTACACGGATGCACCATCGCGGCGGAACATCGATTCCGTTTCGGTCTGTCGCGGTGGTATCGCGAGACGTAGAAAGGGAAACGTCAGCCATGAAAGATCAACAGGGGACGCACGGAGCGAATCGACAGTGGACTTTATCGAGCGGTTAGGAGCTGTTAATTTCTACTAGGCAGATAAGCTATCTGGCTCGCTTCTGCCGCCAGGGATACCGGTTTCCCTGTCGCGGATAAATGGGACCGCGGTCGTGTGACAACAGGTTCGATCCCGGGACCAAATTCCGCGACGAGTATCGCGGAATTCGACCAATCTGATATTAAACGTCTGTGGGTCGTTGTATCGGGATACACGCGCAAAATTTTCTGGATAAAACGCGTCGAATGACGGATAAACGATGACGTTTCCTCCGTTGTTGCTGCTGTGGTGATTAGGCTAGTAACGGGCACTCGAGGTGCTCGAATATTCGCACGATTTTTTCGATTAATTTTTTCGATTTTTTTCGACACTACTCTACAGTTCATCGCTGATTTCTAGCGATGACCACTGTTATGTCCGAGCTCAGGGGAGGAAAAAGAAGTCACCCTTAAACTGCTTAACACTCCTCGATGCCTCCTTATTTCGTCAATTCATTTCGATTACAATGTACCTTCTCCAAACTTACTTCTTCGCTACATTTCTCTCAACCACTCTCTCCCGACCGATCTCTCACCGATCTTTCTGCTTGTCTCGAGGAGAGGGGGAAACTCCCTAACCACGAGACCGTTGGTCGAATCCCGAACACTACAACCACGATAAATGAATGAAAATATCAACCCGCGAATCGTTATTGTCGCACAGAGTTCCCATTAGTTGCGTATTATTCGAACGAATCTCTCCCGATCTCCGCCGTCACGCCGGAGACCGTGAGAAAAATCTCCCACTATAACCGAGCACACCCAGTCTTCGGCATATTTTCCTCTCATCGCGATCCCTCCTCGCGTTTTCTGCGACGCTAGGACAGGTCTCGAATCTCCACCTATCGCGTGTCCGTTTCAGCTGTCGCGGCACGAGAAGTTGAGTAATTTCGAGACCTTTCGCGCGCAGAGACGGTCGGAAGGAACGCGAGCGGCAACGGGCGAAATCGAGGCACTCCGGGAAGACGATGCAAATGCGTGGAGCGAATCGTCGAAGCAATCGTCGAAGGAATCGTCGACGAAACACCGACGCTAACCGCTCGATCGGAATGTTTCTAGATGATCGGTCGCATTAGCTCCGTGTCGCGGAAAAGTTGAGGCGAGCAAGAACGTTGCGTCTCACCTGCGGGATCGAAGATTCGGAGTGTTCCCTGGTCCGCTCTCCCGGATCCTCTCAATCACTGTCTCCCGGCGACGCTTCTTCCGCATGCCCGACGATCGAGGCACGGATCTGTACACGAGGCAGGGGTCTATTTTCGCAGCGAGCACGCTGTTCCTTGGTCTTCCCACTGGAATACCGCGTCGAGTCGGTAGGCGTGAGCATTTTCGAATCGCCGGGTTGCTACGCGTGGCGCCAAAAAAGACGACCGCACGCACTCGCGCACTCGCGCACCGCCCTCGTTGCACGCACGCCGGTCTAGCCGTCACCGTAGACCACGGATTCTCGTTAATCCGAATACGAGAGTCGCGTATCGCATCGCGAACGGTCGCGGCACGATTCTCCCACGGGGAACGAGCAGCAACGGAGCAGCGCTCGAAGAAAGAAAGCAACCGGAGGATAGGAACGGAGCGCGATATCGTGAGAGACCGAGTCGGTGCCTTCCACCTTCACTGGCAGCCGTTCCGCCTTGGAATGTGCCTTTGCCCCCTCGAACCCCTCTCTCCCCCTCCACTGTACCGGGCCCGTAGACCCGATGCGAGGGGCCCTCCGGGGCCCGACTCTTGCGCCGACAGCCCCCACCCTCTCTTTACCCGCGCCATTCGAAGCCCCTGCCCCTCCACAACCGTCGATTCGGTTCTGGGACCGCGAGCATCGGGGCATCAGGCCCACCCACTCGCCCGAGCGCAATCATTCGGGCGTCGTTAACCCGTTAAGTATCGATTTATCATTTTTTTTGTGTTTTCTATATAGATGTTTATTTTTCGTACGCTGTATGTAAATATCAAACATATTTTACAATCAAATGAAATAATCCTCTTCGCGAAAATAAATTTTCAATCGAAGCTGCGAGCTGCGTTCGATAGAGAAAACGTCGACATTTAGGTGTAAAAATAAAACAGGGACAAATGGTTCGTTTTGGGACCAAATGGCAAATGCTCTTCCAGATGCAAGAAGTTTCAATTCGATTGGACCCATCCGTCTCGGAGTAAGAAGCAAGACAAAATTTTTCTGTTTTTGGTTGGAAAAGAACGGATAAAAAATGACAAATCACAAAATGTTTTGTG